AAAGCTTTATCTTAGTGATACCATTTATCTCCGCAACCCTAAATACCACAGTTTACCTAAAATAAAATTCTAATTTGCATCCCCCTTCGTATGACACATCATTTATGTAAAGGTCATAAAACTCTCCTTACAAAAATACCAAATAACCCAAATTTGGATTGTAGTTAATCTGTGGCAATGGATATGTCTTGTCCAGACAATTCATTTTGCCTTTGTGGATACTTTTCTCCGACAAAGTGTTTTCTAGATATTCGCTCGTAAAGTTTTGACATCACCAATAGACATATCTTCCAAACGTCCCGATCGCCTTTGTGAGTATACCATCCTCCGACAATCTGTTCTTAGGAATTATTTATATCCGATCACGATAAGGAGTCAAGGAAGATGCCATATGGTTGATATAAATTAATTCTTTTCTTTGAGAGATAAAACCAATACCCCCCCAAATTCCCTCTTTTGATAAGGAGTGGGAAAGTAAGGCGGTAGTTTGTAGAAAACAGATCTTTTTGTTGAGACCTTCAGTTGGAATACCATGAAAGATTAATTTCTACAATATGATTGTATATGGAAAAGTTTGCTTGGAGGTTAATTCCTCTCAGTAACAGTTTTGAAACATTCATTTCCTTTAACCTGTGAGCCGTGAAGACCGTCTTTTTCAATCAGTCCTTCCGTATATTGATTTTAATTCTACAGAGACTACCATTGGTTTGAAATGTCTATATTTGACTTTTACGAGCTCTATGTGGTGAATAGAGACATCGAAAATAAATCTGTGATGATTATCCCGTAAAGAAACAAAATACTTCCTTGATTGTAACATCATACCTCCTGGTATGTTGTGATCATCTCTGGAAAATATGATCCCATTAATGCGACGAATTAATGACACGAAAAAACATATAGTGCAACGACCAAAAGTGTCATTCATCTCCGGAAGAAGTGGAAATAACCCTGGTAGGTAGGTACCTAATTTGCAAATCTTTCGAGGTAACGTGCATGACCAATCAATTCGATTACCTGATTCATTGACACGTATAAGTACATGCAATCGAAATTAAATTTTAACGATGTTGTGACCAATTTGGTAATACTAACCACGCGTTTCGGCGGCAGATGAAATTGCCCAAGGTACTATAGTTGGAAGTACCAATAGTTGTATTATTAAAATTACCTGATATTGCTTCAAGAACGTTTTAATCACTCTTTATCACCAATCAGTCCGTGACATTTAATTAGGTACATAATCAATGTGTAGGTACCTACGTAAATGCGCCCAACCTAAGTCACATTTTCAGTGTAAAAAATTGCTGAAAAGTATAACCTTCCGCAGCAAGTTTTAAAAAACCTGATTAAGGATGACGATTTTTCCAAATTTATTGTTATAATATATTCAGAGTATTTTGTTAATTGCATCCAGTCTTCAAATCAATGCGCGCGGTCTATTATCTAGACCAAAGAAAACCGATATTCTGACTTTAACATGCTACAAAGTTGCTGTTGGGCACAAGTGATTTTTTAAATTTACCCCTTAAAAATGTACTACTGTGTATTATTTTTGTGCATTTTTGTAATTGTGCCATCTGAAGCAGATATAAAGTCTTCAGGTTTGTACTTTACTACTACCTATTTGAAAAAGTTCCCAATAAATTTGTTAAAAAAACACGCGCGCCTAAGTCTTCAATTGCCGAAATTACGCAATCAAAAAGATAAGATTAACAATTTTAATTAATACGTGTACCTATGTGATGCTTATGGCGGGTGCTTAAAACTCCATTAGACCAACGGAAAACCATGATGAGTATTGGTCAGAGCAATGGATTTTTAATGAACTCTTAACGCAATTTTAAAAAACACCAGTTTTACATTTGTAACCAATTTTCTTAATTAAACTAATAAAGTAATTAGGACGGAAAAGCGAATCAAAGAAAAATTACCTAAATGTTTCTTTCTTGCCTCCGAAAGCTGAATCCATTTGTTTACAAAATATACTTACGGGGTACCTATAACGTGATTATGATGATGATTTATAAATCAAATAATGTAATTGACTAGTGCGGTATACAGGGTGGTGACTTGCGTACCGCATCATAGGGATTTCAATGTAAGATTCATAACATGTGATTATTGGCTCCCCAAATTATTTTAGAGCAAAAATGTATTAAGGTTTTTTGTAGGAAAAATTTTTTTACGTCAATCAACTGTATATTAGTTTTCAATTTTTTTCATAATAAAGACGGGAAATTGGAAAAATAAAATCCGCATTTTTTTCAATAATCTGCGATGCCATGGTATTTTCTAAAACAAAAAGATATCCAGTTATCAATTAGTGGCAGTTCGAAATGTATTTTATGATCGACTTGGTTACCGTCTTGCAGTTAATGGTGACTTCTTATTCGAACATTTGTTGTAAATTGTTATATTAGGAAACCGTTTTTAGTAATTTGGTCTTTCTTTATGTTGAATTCGGTGTTCTAAATATAATACTTTTTGATATAATTTGATTTGTTTTATAGCAGACATTCCATGGCATGACGGATATTGGCGTAGTTTTTGTTAAAGCAATTGCATTTTGTTGTTTTGTTTTAAAATTTAGTTATTTTGGCTTTTTGAGGTCATCTTCAGTGACGAATAGTTACGCTTTACTACTTAAGAGATCTTTGAATCGGCTACTTACTAAATAAGATATTGTAACGCCTGTTACATTAAAATAGGATAGGTAAATGTCATCATGTTCATGATTTTGAAATAAGATTTGTATTTATGACTTTTCTTATTGTAATTCCTCGAGAAGCTCCAACTTTACTTACTTACTCAATATTTTTTTTTAGTTTCAGATGCAGACTACAATGAAATGCCCCTCTTGTTCCACGTGGACGACTATGATCGTTGCATGGCATTGAAACAAAAAGCTCTATACTGCTCTGTTACGATACAACTGAGTCCTTTCCACACGAATCACTCGAAAGTTTGGAAAACAATAGAGGTACGTAACGCATATGAAATGGGAACATTAATATCGTTTTTATATGACTTTCGTTCAAAATTTAGTTCACCTGTCATAAAATGCAGCCGAAAACAAAACGTACACGTACTTTTGTCTTTCTCATAAGGGCTTGCGCATAGGAAAATAAAACGCGTACCTATGTCCGTATATATCAAATAATTAGTCAACGTTGACAATATCCCCGTTCGTTTATAAGTGAAGATATTCCATAAATTCTAATGACATTATTAGGAAAAATATAGTTCATACAACTGTCTTGAAACCACCGTTTCATATACTTATGTGAAATATATCGCTTTCAACGATCGTTGTATAATATACCTACTATTTTCAAACGGTATACAACTTGATAGCTATTTTTGTAAATAAATTATGGCCTATAATGGAATTAATTATGTTCCGGAAGCAGGTTGCATTTCAAACCGCTTTTATTAATTCATTGTTGAAATATACAGAGAGCGGCTAAAATATAGAATAAATTCATTTAAAAATCAGGTGTTGGGTTTTTCAAAAATGCTCGCACACGTCTATAATAATTTTTTCTGGAGACTTTTTTGCATTAAAGAGAAAAAATACAAGGTGCGTCAAAAAGTACATTACCAAAATAGATTTTTTTAAACAGTATTTTTAAAATGCATTTTCAAATTCTGCGTCAAATTCTACGCATAATAAAAATAACAAGTTAGGATAATTATGAATCTTTTTGGATTTGAAGCATTTTTGAAGTACCTACATTTTAGCTAGAAAGTGTCCTTGGCAATACTTTAAAAACTACAGGTAATTAAAACTTTATATTCCAGAAAGTCATCAGTAATGAAAAATATTATCGCCACGATAGGCTTCGGCACATGATATGTGTACGTCAGTTCTGCCCGTCGACATCCAAAAAGATTTCCATTTTAAAACATGACGAAACTTCGTTAAAAGATGAAATATCCGAATGCTATAGCGATAAATACGCACATTTAGACCTAAACGGATCGGTGACGCAAATACGATGCGAAACGGATCAGCCTCGTTATAGTCTCGACTTGCTCGACATTTGTATAGCGTAAGTTACCTTGTGAATTACTTTTTGTTAGCATCATGTTCAGTGGTCTGTTTAAATTCCGATTTCTTAGAAGGTTTTTAGTTTAGAGGTAATGGTTGATCATATAAAGAAATATCCATATAGTAACGTAATAGTTATTTACCATATAAAAGGGATATTTTAACCCTTAAGTGAAACTTTCACGAGATGGTCAGTTTTTTGTTATCATCGTGTATAATACAAAACTTTATTTTATAGCAGAAGCCATACAAATCATTGTAAAAAGCTTCTGACAATCATGATCATATAGAAACAGCATTGTCGTATCTTCTGAACGTCATTTTATATAGAGCTCCTCGTCCCATTTGAAATATGAAAGACGTGATTAGAATGCACAATCATCTGTTTCACTCTATCTATCCTTGCGGTTAAAGTGATCACTTTATCTACCCTTACGGTTAAAAAGCGCCTTAGTTTACTCATTCAAAAACCTATTAAAGAGTCACTGCAACATAGACTATAAAATAAAAGCTTTGTAAACCATTCAAATGCAATTGACACATAAATACTGTAATTTCAGGGCACTCTATGGAGTGATTTTATTGTTTTTAATAATTGGAACTGTTTACGAAGGAACTGCCAGGTTAAAAACTAAAGAAGAATATGAAGCTCTTACTACATCTACATGTAAGTATCATATTTGTCATCGTATCAATTTAATTTGTTTTCTTTAACGAACGCAGGTGGATCTATAATCTCTTGCTTCTCCCTTATCAAAAACTGGAAAAGACTCGCGGGCAAATCCACCAATGTTGATGTAAGACCACTGAAATGTATGAACGGGCTACGAACTTGCAATATAATGGCAGTCATACTCTCACATACATTCATCTTATCGCTCGCAGTTCCAAGTGTGAACCCTACGTTTTTGGAAACGGTAACCTAAGCAAATTTGTTGCAAAAATTTAAAATACAGTCCCTAATAGGCCTCCGAAAAACCAGTCTACATGCTTGTGATGAATGGAACGGTAGTTATACAAACTTACTTTGTAATGGCCGGATGGCTTTTGTCTTACAACTTTTTCAAAATCTTCGAAAAAGAGAAACGACTGAAGATATCCTACATTATTCTTGCTTTTGTGCAACGATACATCAGGTAACTGTCGACTTGCAGCTTAAGTGACATATTGACCATAAAATGTTTCCAGATTAACTCCTTGTTTGGCACTAGTCATAGCGTTTAACGCAACTTGGTTGTATCACCTTGGTAGCGGGCCATTTTGGGATAAGATTGTTGGTGACGAGTATCGAAATTGTCGAAACAATTGGTGGGTAAACCTTTTATATATCAACAATTATTACGACTTCCAAAATACGGTAAGTGTAAATAATACTTTTCCATCATTTTCTTACCTATATAAACATTTCAGTGCATGCTCCACACATGGTATTTAGGAGCAGATACTCAACTATTTATACTAGCTTTATTAGTAATGGCTTTAATATGGAAATGTAAAAAATACTTGAAAGTAATTTTTGGAACCTGCCTGATTGTGAGTTTCATAGTTCCTGGTGTCGTTAACTATATTTATGACTATGATATTATCGTTCGGTACTACCCAGAGTAAGTGTCATGCTTTCTTTTTGAAATTTGCTTATCGCTTACTTTTTTAGGCCACTTTACAGAATAGTACTGCACGTTAACGAATTTCGACTGATGTACATCACTGCACATACAAATATCGGTGGTTACGTCATTGGCATGATATTTGGGTACATATACTACGCATATAAAGACATAAACGTCTTTAATAAAAGGGTATGGTGAAAAAAAATTTCGTTACAAAACAATAACCACAGTCTATTTTAGTTCTATCAACTGTTGTGGTGGCTATTTATTTGGGGAGTACCACTGACGGTTATCTTCATTGCCCATTCATTTTACCAAGAAACTTATGTGCCCTCTAGGATAGGAGCGGCGATATACACGACGGTGGGAAGAAACTTCTTTGCATTGGCCATTGCGCTGGCAACGTTTGGAGTTACTCAAAAAATTGGATGTGCGTATCTCACTGTAGTTAATTCTTTAATTTCTACGGTAATATTTTAGGGTTCTTGCGCAGTTGCATTGTATGGTCACCGTTCCAAATAATGGGACGCATAACCTACTGCGTTTATTTGGTTCATTTGAGCTTAATACGTATACGCATAGGTCAAGGTAGAACTCCAGTGTATTCCTCGGTTTACACACTGGTAAGTTTTACAATATGCGGGAATGCATATCGAATTTCTTTCATTGCAGTTGACCAGCACGTTAACAGACATATTTATGTCATTCATATTTGGTCTATTCCTGTGCCTCTTTGTGGAGTTACCTACATCAGCACTTCAAAAGCTAATGTTACCCGAAATGAAAAACAAAGTCGATCGGAATGCACAAAAACAAAAAAATATATCCATTGCCATAATTAGCAACAACGATCACCAAATTTCGAAAATGTGAATTATTCGGAAGATACGAAGTACCTAATCCATTCTCACCAAAAATGTTCCATGCGTTCTGTAATAATTGTTTATTGCAATATAGTTTTTTATTAATTCATGTTTTCTTATTTTCATCGCGGAATTACCTACTGGTCAAGGTTATCGCAGGTCTAGTTCTGTAATTTTCTACAAAATTATGGGATGTAACCTAATAATGCCTCGGTCTGACACTAAATTACAACAGTTATATAACCCTTATGTCCACGGTGGGGTACCCGGGTAACTTTTTTAACTATTCATTTAAAATTTCTGATTTTGGTGGCGAATTTATGGCTGATGCTTCAGATATGCCCAGTACATAGTTAATGCAAGTCATTTATTTGAAACTATATTTTGTGTTTACATAAAAATACAACAACAAAAATATTTACTTACAAATAACATAATGTCAATTCTGGGGGTACCCAGGTAACTACAACGGAATATCATCTGTGATTGGGAAAAAAACTCGTATAAAGTATGTTCTTGTTAGAGATAATTTGAAATATGCAAATTTAGTGTGTTGTAAACAAAAATGAATGTTACTACTCACAAAACTGACACTTTGTAACAGTGATACAGTGTTCATGACACACTGGGCGATTGCAACTTCCGCAACATTTTCTTGTCTTCCTTTTTCTTTTGTTTGCTTGCTGTAAACAATCGAAGCAATTTCCAAGAATGGGAAGACGACCGCTGGCATCACGTTTCAAATTCTCCCTATTCATAGGGGGAATTGACACAAATTTTCCTATCATGCATTCAATTCCTGACATTGTTGAGAAATTCCTGACGCACGCTGGATTTGCAGCCCGAGTGTAAATTGCCGGCATTGAAAGCTCTTTACCCAAAGTTTTCAGGAAAACGACGCCTATGTGTTATACGTTTTTCTTGGGGATTATTATCCATATAAATTACATAAGCTGCTAACGCTGCAATATCCAACATATTGTAAAAAAACGCAACTGGCCACCTTAGCGTTTTTCTCTTTGTCGTATAGTGTGTACACAATTTATCCATATTATCCACGCCCCCCTTGGTACTATTGTAAAAGTGTATGATTTCCGGCTTTCCAGAAGGCCCAGATGTTGCATCTGTATAATGCATAGTGGATAATAAAATCACCGATTTCTTCTTTTTGGGTACATATGAACAAATTGTGACATTGTCAGAAGTAAATCCAAACAACGAAGACATTTCTGGTCTAGTAATCGACGGTAGCATTTCTTTGGGTATGTATGGTTTGTTTTTCTTTAGCGTGCCAACTATTGATAGATTCCAAGACATAAGTAGTCTAGCCAGTGGCAATGTAGTAAAAAAATTGTCTGTAACAATGTTTCTTCCACTTCCTTTATATTGGTTACAGAGATCCTTCACAACTCGCTCTCCTTGATTTACTTCCCTTCCGATTGACGATTTACCAGTATAAATCTGGCCCGTAAGAGGATAAGAGTTTCGCGAGTCGCAAATCCACCATACCTTTATCCCATACTTTGACGGCTTCGAAGGCATGTATTGTGTGAACTTGGTTCTTCCTCTATAAGGAAATAATTGTTCATCAACTGTGAGGGATTCGCTTGGTTTATATTTGGAACGCAAGTTATGATTCAGCATCTCAAAAATATCGGAAATTGCAGCAGCTTTTGTCGTTATTAGTCGTTCTTGCCTTGTAACGTCGTTATCAAACCGCAGAAACTTGTTCAGCTGCCAAAAGCGATTTATTGACATACTTGCGCGATATAGGGGGTACGCGTCGGTTTTCCACAGCTCCTTTGTATGCTCAAAATTTGAATGTCTTACACCCGCAGTAACCAAGATACCGAGAAAAGCATTAAATTCTTCCTCAGTTACAACTTTCCACAACTTCTGTGGTTTAGTAGGATTTTCATCGTTGTATTTTGAATAAACCCTTTGTGCTTTTCTGTTTGTTTCGCGAATGATTACATCACAAATTTCATTGGAAAATATACATTTGAAGGTATCACGTACTGACAGCGTGTGAGTTTCACGCACTGGGCCTGATTTTTCACGCAAAATATTATGCCGGAGTATTTTCTGGGCTCCAGAAGGTCTTGAAAGCCATTCTGTGCCATCTTTTCCACGAAAGGTATTGCTACAGTGATTTGTGGCATTCTGATTATCTTCATCACAACTATTCTCGTCGTCGTCGTCACTCTCAAACTCAATATTACTTTGCGCTAAAGCATCTTCAACGTCAGAATCATTACAGTAATTATCAGGCACCCACTCGTCTTCTGAGTCACCTTGCAATTCTGGCAACGCATCATCTTCTTCGTCAGACTGTATACTTTCTTGCAGTTGTTGTAAATAGTTTTGTTGTGCTTCGTATGATAACATCCTGTACTCGGCTGGAGTTAGTTCCCTAAATTTGTTCATTTTAACTTTATAAGCTGAATGTTAACACTAAACTAGCACGGATTACAGTGACAACCTTAACTTACAAATGGCCGACAACGACTAACGCTTAAGTGCTAAACATATGCATAATAGAAAGCCGCGTTTGCGCTAAAACGAATTGGTACCCGGGTAACCCCACTATAGACAACGGTAAATATTTTTTGTCATAGACACAAGGGTTAAAAACTAAAGAACGGTTGTACCGATTTTAATGACTTTTGGTTTGTTGGATTTCTCTCCGTTGGGAATACCACGAAGGATATTAAAACATACGAAAAATGCAGGAAAAAACAAATTATGATGATTTGCTACCACTTGAATTTTTACGCAAAATAAAAAAGTTAATATATCTAACTTCGCTAATTTCAGAACACACCATTTATTAATTCTAAACCGGTACGAAGTTCGCCGGGTCGGATAGTTTATAATAAAGGGTCATAAAGGCATTGCTATCAAATGTTTAATGTCAGTACTCCTACATCAATATTCTTACGTAGTAAAATGTTTTACCTATTAAATTTTTTGTTGACAGAAACAGTGTACCATGTTGTACTTGTTGATATGCAACGTCTTTCAAGATTAGATTATTTTATTATTTATGCTTTTATATGGTCCTCTCACCCCAATCTACAGTAGCGTAATTTAGCTCAAACAATTTTCGAATACAAACGTAGTCATTTAGAATTCATTTTACCCTTTGGTTTTCACCCTGCACATATTGTAAATCATGGAATCAACATGCAAATAGTCCGCTATGTGATCGCATTGTATTCCCTGTCCATCACGGACAAAGCTGACCATTAGCGAGTACGTTGCTAAACACTCATTCTTAAAGGACGCAACGGGATTGCGGACAATATAAACCTGCGTGCTTCTTCTGCATATAGAATGTTTGACTTGCAAATGAGTTTGAAACTTATCAATGATAGTGCTTATATGTAACAAAAGCGACGGAAGGCATTGTCTTCTATCTGCCTTAGCTTCACAATAACTTCTTGTTTCTCAGCAATAACACCCTTAATGGATACATTAGTTTAAAGGTTGCAACGCTGGCATTCCTAATGGCCCTTCAGATTCGTGTTTGCGAACAATCTCACGTTTGTAGTAATTGCTTATAGGAAACAACAGTCTGCTAATTAACTACTGTTGTATAGGAAGTGATAGAGCGACAGACACGCATTCTAAGTTTTTACTTATGATAATTTATAAACGAATAAAAACTACTTCCGAGGGACAGGGATTGTAATGAGGCATGTGCGTGCAGTCAACCCTAATGAATAAGTGTAAACAGAAAGTTATTTCAAATTTGGGTTGTGATTCCCTCATAGAGGAAAATTTTGTTTTTGATTTTAGGTTTAATGTATTTCGGAGACACGCTTTATTTAATCCCAAATCGTTGTACGCATCGCAACGTTCTATCATTACCACATTCAGGTACCCCAAATTTTCATCCCCTTAGTAATATACAAAACCCAATGATGCACTACATAAAGTAACATAAATCTTTGCAAAGGGCTTTCAAACGTCACCGACTAAACAATCTACCTGTCCCTCTTGGGTGCAGACGGATTGCAGACACCAATGGTAAAAGACGCCATGACTCATCTGGTAGGTAGTCAAGGTCAAGTCAATCATGCAAAACGCATGCGATTCGAAACTAATTGAAAAACACACACTTATTATGCATGTTATAGAGTCCGTATTCAAAATACAATATACATATCGTCCCACAGTAATTTTGCTTCACTTAAAACTTAAACACAACAGACATTGTTCTCGAATTGTAAGCACGTATACTATAAGAAGGTCCTACAATTCTAAGAAAAGCAGGCAGAAATCTCGGAACTACTACACCAGCCAGATGTTTATCTGCCTCTACACAAACTGGGGTGCACCTTATTTGTTGTGTTGTAAATAGGCCATGCCATATTATATCTGCAGCTTTTATGTCAAAGTGAAACGAAAAGACGAACAAAGCAAAGCTATAGAAACGATGCCCTTGGTCAGTGTGCTATTAATTAGAGATGGGTCGAGTTGTTTCAGTATATAACCTACCACCTACCATATTAGTTTTATGGAAGCAACAAGTCTAGCCCGTTCTTCCCACACGTTATCTTTGCATGTTATCTCTCTCGAAATCTGTACCTGCTGCAGAAATTCTGTTACCAGGTTTTTTACAACTGAAATGGGATTCTATCTGTCCTAATTTTTGGGAACGGTTGCGTGATCCTAGATATTTAAATTTATATGCATTGTTCGGACACGATTCACATTTTCACTAAGAAACTGTTTATTAGAAGTGCGTTTACGTAATATTTAAATAGCGAGTTATTGCAATCTATGCCGGTAAGTGCAAGGCGAGCAAACTGTCCCATTGAACTTGTCCACAGTCGCTAATGTTTGTAATTTACCTACTTAGTATGAGAGATCTTCCATTTGATTGTCAGTCCAAAACTTACCTTGACCTTTCTTAACCAGTTAGGTTCTGACTTTTAACTGAATTAAATAAAATCACGTAAACAACCACAAAAGTTGAATGATCCACTCCACAAGCGAAAACAAGGTCTGTCTTCCACTGCACCAATATCTACAAACTCGAACGTTCACTTCTCAAGCGGATAAATAAACACCTTACTTGTCCCATAAATCTATTGCAC